CCCAAAAAGTACAGTTCAGAATATTTAATTTTTTGTATGAATCATTGGAATAAATTCCCTCTACTGTTGTATATTCCGCTTCAGTGGAAGTCTTGAGAGGTTGCATAACCATCTTCTAAAATGTTTTACTATATCCTGCAATGAGCAGTTTGTTGAGTAGATGAGCTGTGAGGACCCTCCAAATCTATGATTTTATTAAATTCATTTGTCCTTCTTTAAAAAGACCATTCTTCAAATAAATGTTCCTACTACCGGTACTTAAAAGCCCAGTTGACTATTAGTATGTTTGAGCTCATTGAAATCAATGTACTAGGCAAAGTTAACTTTTTTGCAAAAACTTTCACTAATTTTTTCCATTAATTTATTAAACATAATTTATATATTTACTGTCAATAAAATACACTTTACTGTAAGACAATTATTATATTATATTTATCGATTATCTATCATTGTGGATCCTCAAAATGAAATAAAAATATAAATTACATGAGATTAAATCCTATCAAAACCTCAATGTTTTCTGTAAAACATGAAAACTGCCATTGATTTCATAATTGTAGAAAAGAGGTTCTATGTTTAATTATCCTGTGTCATTAAACATTAAGAATTGGAGTCAAAATTATTTTTTTCCATGGTTACTGAAACTAAAGGCATAAAAATTGTCAGAGCCCTGTCATTCTACTTGTGTATTTTAGTCAAAACAGTTCAGAAACATTGCTCTCTATATAATGAAAATAACTTTGTTACATTACAAGTATTAGACATGAATGATAGGACACACATTTTTTGTCATACTTGATCCCAACAATCAGTTAGGCAGCTTGGGACTATCCTTCCATCTAGGACTGCAGAATGTTTCATATTTTCCTATTGGGCTTCAAGAATGAAAACATTTTATTTTCCAGTTTTTTCCTGGGGATGGTCCTGGACTTTTAGCTCTTGCTGAAACAACTGGTAGAAGCTGTAGGAAAACTCTGGCTACAGTCATTCATGCCCTTGCAATATCACGAATAGACTATTGCAATGAACTGTACAGACATTGCCCTTGAAGATGGCAATGGAAACTGCAATTCTTTTATGTATCATTTGGTATGTTTTTAAATCACATTACCTGCTCTCCTCCCAAAGGTAGCTATAGCTTACAAAAGAAAGATGCAGTGAAATAATGAAAAAAGTAGCAATTTCAAAAGCAACAAATGTTAACAATGTTAACATTTTAGTCAAAAATGTCAAAATTCACACTAAAAAAGCAAAATATAATAGAAGAGACAGACTGACAAACTAAGATGAACAAAGTTGGAATACTAAATGGAAAAGATTATAAATTATAATCAGATGTCAGCTCTTTGGATGTAGTAATTTGTACAGAGATTAGGAGTTAATTGAAAAGCTTGTTAGAAACGTGAATTATGGATAGTTTTGAGAGGTCTTCTTCCTCAGCACCTGCAGATTCCAATATAGTGAGTAGCCATATTTTTAGGTAAGACATCATGGAATTAGTAGTAGCAGTAGTTCCCTTTCCACATAAACAACACACTTATCTAATGAATTTCAATTTCAAATTCAGTTTCTGACAACTTAGTCTTTGCTGGATTACATTCTTCAAACTTCTTGTTAACAGTTGGTGTTTTCAAATGTGAAATATGAATTGTTTTCCTAGAAAGATAATCCCTATCTTGTGTTTTTAATTACACCTTTTTGTTATTATTTTTATTGTTCAATTATCATTTTGATACTGGCTATTCTTTTTAAATGTTAGCTGCTTTAGGAACATGATAGACAAAAATGTTCATAATAAATAAGCACATTTTGGGGTATATTTTTTGAACCAAAAATATATCATAGGATAGACAAGACACATAATTTCTAATGCATATTTTCCTTAAATTAATAGTATTTTTAAAAGTAGTATCTTACTAACCTTAAGCAATTTTCTATGTTTAGATGCATACCACCAAAATAGCTTAGGGTTTCTCCTTCAGAATTCCTTACTTGTAAGTGGCAATAGTTTTTTAATATCACCCTGAGCTAGAGATAATATTTAGTTGGATATCTTCCACAATACAATTGGAAGGAGTTTAGAGTGGCCAATGGATACATTTAAGATTATTTGATAAATTACTGCAAAGGAATACAACTACATTTCAATAGATACCGAACAGCATGTGAAAAATTTCTTATGCTGTCAGGATTTTGACTCTAATTGATACTTTATTATTCTTTTAATTACAAAAACTGTAATTAGGAACCTGGCATACTGCAAAACACAGAAGCAATCTTCATCTTTATGTGCAAGAATGCTTTTTAGCCTTACAAAGATGCATTATTAAAAATAAATATGAAAAGTGTTTTGCTTTAAAATGCAACAACCTATACAGAAAATAAAGACAAAGATGAAATAGAACAGCACTCAATCTACTGCAGAACTACAGAAGGTAAAAGAAACAAATCCCATTAGTTTCTGGTTTTGGGGGGGGGAATGTTGTTATTGGTTACACCCAAAGTACATCCATTCTAGGGAGAAACAGTAATTTCCCCTAGCTATTTCCCACAATAACTATTTTATGAGTCCACTTAGAGTCCACTTAAAGAGCAATTTTTCAAATAGAGATATTGTCTCAAGTAGGCTGCCAGTGCTTGAATACTGAATTTTCCTATGTTAGTGTATTCACAAAGCATGACTCTATAAGTCAAACAAGAATGAAATATATTTTGTAGTCACTAATCATGGTAGAGACAGAAATTTAAATGGTAATACAAATTCAAATATTCATTTATTGGTTGTTGTAAAATGTGGCTTGCTAATATCAAATTAACTTTTCACTGAATTTTTACTATAAAATTAGTTGTGCTTTTCATGTTATTGTGAAGAGGCTTTTCGTATCAACAATCATCAATCTTATATGCGATGACAATGACAATATCTTGAGAACAGGTGGGAAATATTATCTTCTTATAGATGATTGTTGTATTTACAGGATATCAGTAGATACAATGTATACCACCAAGTACATTCCAATCAGAATTAAAGAATCTTCAGTAAGTGAATTGCTAACTGTGTTGCATACATTATCAATACTTCAACTGTTAATATCCAACATTCATGCATGCATGCACGCATACACACATATATACCAATCATGCTATTCCCTTTCATGGTAAGTACAGAAAAGGATTAAGAAATAGTAAGTCAAATGAATAAAAGTATTAAGTAAGAATAAATAAAGCTCAAGCTGATTTTCTTCACCTTTTCATATTACCATACTACCCTAATAATGTTTAATTGAATCACATTTAATATGTATCAAATTTGCATGCAAATTAATTATGTTTTATGCCTGGATTCCTTGAGAGTTGGGCACATGCAGCTTTAATAAATTATTAGGATTAAATTATTATTTACTATGGAATATTACATATCAAATACTGTTAGTATGAAATGGATTTATAAAAAACATTCATTTTATCTTTCTTCTTAGTCATTTCTTTTGGTATTTATTGATACTTGTGGGAATAAAATTGTACGAGGCAATAAACAATGGCATGAAATATATCCTATTCTCGCATATTAGCAAAAATGCTAATGATTTTTGTCATAGCACTATTTACTGTATTTTGATCAGAGCAAACCTCGATACTATTGATTAACTACGATCCCCCTCTTCTGTATTCATTTTCGAAATCATTTATTTTCCCATAGCCTCAGTCAAACATTGCTTCAGTAGCTTAAGAATGCTTGTCCCAAATATTTAAGATAATGTTTCTTAAATAGCTACATTGGGCACATTTTATTGAGATCTAGTTTCCCACAGCAGGGAATGCTAGTTATATCAACAATGCCACCCACCCATTACTAAGTCTGGATAACGCAAAACACAAGGTCCACTGAGCTGTGAGAAAGGTGGAGAAAAAGCAATGCTTGATTAAAAATGTCTTGGGTATAAGAAGGAACATATTTTATACTGACAGTGGGCAGTCAACTGCATTCAAGATTCTTATCTAGCTGTGCTGGGTTCGATAGCTTCTGTCAAGTTTGAGCTGAGAGCCTAACAGATACTGGTTTCCTGTTGATGGTGGGTGATACAAGCTTATCTATCTTTAAGTCCTTGCTAGCTGTCAGAAATTTGTGATTACTGTACTGCCCTATATAATTAATTATTGAACTGTAAGTGGCACTTTCTTCACAAATAATCTTCTATGCTTGAACTGAGTCTGCATCCAAGAGAACCTTTGGGAAAGAATAACTCTCATTAGCTTTCCATTCAGAAGGGTCTTTCTTAGCAATTGTTTTACATTCTGGTTTCCGTCATACTAACTTCTAGCTTATTTTTGGTTTGGCTTTCTTATCCTGATCATTTCCCAATCCTCAATTCACTTCTGATTTCCAGCTTCAGACTATCACTTATGACTTATTCTTCACAATATCTTGTGAAGAATATATTTAGCAATATGCAGTAGCTGCTTTGTTATTTTTCTAACATCTGAAAGCTAGGAAATACTTCCTTAGCTTTGAAATCTGATTAACAATATACAAACACAGAAACCCTATGTTTGTGATTGACACATATGTACAATATATTTACCATCTCTGTTAAGTGAAATCTCTGATTCCTACCTTCCATTTATAACCTTTTAGAAGTTATTTTGTGATGACTTCATCACAGTGCTTTACTTTTCCATAAAAACAATATCTTAAGAGCTAAATATTAATGTAGATTTTAAATTAAAAAAAAAACCTCTGTGCTGAAGAGCCATTAATCTATTTTAAATGTTTCCTGTAAAATTCACATGGATTCAGCATCTGTAAAGGGCATACTGATTTGAATTATGCTTTTCTATTCCCATAGGGGGCCACAGGGAGAAACTGCTAAGTTCAATGTGCCCAAAATTGCCTTTAATCAAAAGCCCTGTAAATATTTGTGTTGTGTTGTTTTATAGCATGTTAAGTTGTTCTACTCTCACATAAACATCTTTGACTTTCAAGCTTGTCACAATTATAATTAAAACTCATTGTTTTTTAATCTCTGCTTAAGTATAATGTTAGCAAAGTACATATTTTGAAGTAATTAAGAAAAGGGTGTACAATCCTAAATGATGCAGCAACATGATCATCAATATAACTGGCAAATACTTTATTCTTTCAGTTCTGAACTATCCTTTCTGACCCATAATATTTGGTTTTTTTTAAATTGCACAATGAATACTTTTTCTTTGCTTCTGCTTGTTTTACATTACTTCTTATGCCTCTTCTTCATCTCTACCCTTCCACATGAGCCTGGGCAGTAAGTTGTTTCTTCCTGTATTAAATATGCACATTTCTTCTGCACAGAAAAGAAAGGCAGAAAATGTTTTAAATCTATTGCAAAATACAAAAATAGTACACATTCTTTATTAACTTCCATTTTCTATAGTTTGGAAATACATTTGAAAGAGTGGTTTGATGACCCCATCTACAGACATAAATTATTATTCTCTTTCAGAAACCAATATACTAGGCTGAAACTTGAAATATAAAACTTACTTTCATCAAGATACACCTATTGAATATGACAGTATGCAGAAAAAAATAAAATGTGTATTTATTTTAAGTCTGTATTCTGCCCAAATCTGAATGACTCGGAGTGGCTACTTGGATTGGGAATTCCAAATAATGTTAGTGTAGGACAATATATTGGGAAGTTGAGAAAAAAAATCTCAGAAGAAGGTATTGGGAAATCCCTTCTATAACACTATTAAAAAACTACCTGGACATGGTCATTAGGACACTTGACTTGGTTTTTAACTACTACAGGACCATTTTCATTAAACAGATGCAGTTCAAAATATGATTATGCAAATATATATCATTGCCTCTTTCTTATTTTAAAAATATTTTTAAAAAATGTTTAAATAAATATATTTTCCACTGATTAAAGTTATTAACATAGTGCTGGTTCCAGATACTATGGTGCCCCTAGGTCACATGACTAGTTCTCTCTACATAGAAAATATTTGTATTATTATGCATTTTCAACTTTATTCATAAAGGAAGCACTGGGCAAAATACATTATATTATTTCCCACAGTTCTCTATAGAGAACTAGATTAAAACATGATGGGAAAACAGGAAGAGAGAGCATTTATCTGAGTTTATTTGTTAGATTTATAAGCCACTTTTCAACAAAGAACTCAAGATGGCATACATCTCCCTGGGTCACTCAAAAACTAAAAAAAATATAAATGCAAAGAAGATATTAGAATATGATGGAAAACAAACTAATCTATTCATTATTCAGCATCAATGACTGATTTTTTATTTCATAGAAGCTAATTATGTAACACTTATTGAATAATGATTATAATAGTATGTTTCATGTGTAATCATCCTTCTGGAGGTAGCATGTTTATCAATGAAGAAAAGAACTATATAGAATTAATAAATAAGCATGCTGGCACTGGATTCACCAGAGATATAATAACCTGAATATAAGTTACTTTCAGATAAATTCTCTAAAACTGTAGCTTAATGTAAACTTTAGAGTTTTACAAATTAATTCTAAACACAAATATACATTCAAAGTGAGATTTACTTTTTAGTAGATTCTTAAGATACTGCACTAGTTTTTGTCACTGGAGACTGGTGAAATGAGATCCTGTTAGAGACTGTTTACATTTTACATGTCATTTCCAAATACCTTTAGCTAAAGAAGAAAATAGACAGGAAAGGAATTTATCTGAAATTTCAACCACTCTCAAAACAAAAGGTAGAACTGTCAAAGAAAATAGTTTGAATCCCTAGATTTTATAAATATTAATTGGTTGTATAGTTAGAGGAGCCAAACTGGAATATTCTTTGGTATCAATTTCAGAGGGGAGATGTAATGAACTAAAAAGGATGTTTTCTGGTGCAAATCAATCTAAATGAATTTACGTTTTAGAAAACATTTTCCTTCTATGAAGCTGTACTGATAACAGAGCACCTGATAATGTCACCTAAGATAATTTCTTCTTCAAAATGGGAAGAAAACCTTTCCTTCTAGGAGGGAAATGGAATTAATCTTGAAAGAGAAGAGGACAAGGACGGCCAAACGGGAAGCTTGGGACACCTGAAGGCGCCGTGGAATCGGATGTTCTAGAGACTGCCGTCGAATTCAGGCCGGGAAACCCGCACTCAGTGAAGGGGGGTCTGAGACAACCAAAGCTTTCGCCACCCTAATAATTCCCTTAATCTTCCAGGTGCCAAAGGAGGAGTCCTTGTTCTTTTTGATTGTAACGCCGAAGGCCGTCCAGGAATGCGCTTCCCAGCCAAGCGCAAGGCAAAAGAAAGAGTAACTTTCACCTGCCATTGGCCATGAAATCGCGGCAGTTGCTTGCTCTCTCTCTTTCTTTCTCTTTCACGCAGATGCACAGATACGGCAAGCAGCACCAACTTGCGGCCACCGCACCTCGAAGTGCGTGCCTTCCACCCGTTCCCCAACATGCGCGCGCAATCACACACACACACACACACACACACACACAAAGAGAGAGAGAGAGAGAGAGAGAGAGAGAGAGAGAGGATGTGAGCACGGGAGGGGGCCTCTCCTCCCCCCTTGTCACTTCACTCCGTCCTTGCGTCGGCTTTCGCCCCCACCTCTCCCCGCTCCTCTTCTCGCGCCCTCTGCCTGGCTGCTCTTGCACCGAGCGCGCGCGCGCCCGGATTTGTCTAGTGCTGCGCGCGGGGCACCTGCTCGTCTGGCTGCTGCTGTTTGCGCCACCCATTGCTGCCGAGGCTAAAGTCTGCTGTTGCTGCTGATGCCGCTGTTGGCTTAGCGATTCCAGTCTCCTTCGCCACTGCTGCCACGGGCGCCACTATTCCAGCTGCTGCCGCCGAGCTGTTGCGAGCGAGTCGGGCGCCTCCGGTGGGGTTTGCCCCTTCCCCGCCTGCTCCTTCCCTTGCCTGCGAGTCAGCCTGGCTCAGAATCACGTGGCAATTGCCTGAGGCAGAGACTAAAGAGGGGGGAAAAAAGCGCTTCATTCCTTCTTCCACCGCCATACTGTATTTTATAGTAACTCGCGTTTTTATTCCTTCCTTTTACTCCCGCTCGGTGAGTACCTTTCCGCTGAAATTCTTGTCCTTCTTTTTTTGTCCTGTTTTCTTCTTCCTTTTTTTGTTTTTGCTGCTTTTTTATTTTTACCTCTTTGTTTTCATGGATTTGATCCTTTTTCTGATGACAAGTTTTTTTTTCTTAGCATGCGATGGTTTACTAAACTGGGAGCAAAAGGTGTTGCTGGGACTGGAAGTCGCTAGGAATCTTAAAAAGAAAAAGAAACGGCGAAAAAAAATAGACTTGCCAGTCCAGCAACAGTGTAAATGCATATTACATTATTTACGTATATATACACATGCAACTGGTTTTGTGCTGACCAAAAAGCGATGTAAATTATGCATTTTTTTTAAAAAAGCAAAGAGATGTGAAGTGGGCATGTTGCTTAACTAACTCTCTTTTGCAGAGATTTTTGACGTATTTTCTTTTTTTGTTTTTTTTGTGTGTATATATACATATATGTATATGGGATTTAAAAATGCATTTTACAGCAACGTTTTCAGACAATTTGTGATCTTGCAATACTAGGTGCAAGCCACCGAGCAAGATATTAATTTTGTTAAATGTTTTTTATTATTGTTTTGTTTCTTTTTCTTTTTTTGGACACCCGGTTGGAATCTGCCGTTTTTCTTTTTTTTTCTGATTTTATAATGTGAAACTTTTCTTGCAGCTTGGTACTGTTGAGCATTTTTAAATTCTTCCTCCCCCATCCAAAAAAATGCCGTGTAGTAAAAGAGAGAGGGAGAGAGCCAAAAAATATTTCCTTTCCAGAGTTTCACTTTTTAATATTTTTATACAGAGATAATTTTATGATTATCATAATGTTGATAGCTATGCACATATATACAAATAAATATATTTTCAAAAGATGGCAGTGGAAGGTTTTCCTGGAGAATGAAGTGCTGTTTGGTTTCCTTGTCAACGGAAGATGAAGTGAACAACTGAACATCTCCCCAGTGCAGGTACTTCAGCTCCTTGTAGGCGTTTCCACTCTTTGTAAATTACATTATGAGATATATTTTTTTCTCTCTCCCAAATAAGTTCTCTTGAGTGTTGGCTGCAGAACTGTAAGTGATGACAGAGATGATTCTAAGTATTCTTATGCTGTTTAGGGGATGCAAGTTATTTTACTAATTGTATGCAGGTCAGTGAAACAGCATGGGTTGTGCATATGAAGGAAGTTTACCTGAATGAAAATATATCTCACAGAGCACTGATGGTTTTAAGAAATTAACAGTGACAGAACTTAATTGTAGGAAGAAGAAAGATGTTGAGATTTTGCTATTGCCCACTAGGTGTCTGGGACAGACAGACTGACAGTCTTTCTCCCATATCTGTTTGCTTGTGAGCTTGATATATTTTTCCAACTCACACATACATTTTCTCTTTATTCCTAAATTCATTTTTGTTATATTAATTTAGTAAAGAGTAAAACAATTTATTGATTTCTATTTTTTGTGTCCAGTTATGAGGCTAAAAGAGTGTTGATAAATTGTAGATTTTTATTTTGGTTTGAATAATTGTTAATGTTACTGTACAATCATTAAATATTATGAAACATAACTTTTTCAGTACTGCTTAGTCATCGGATCAGAGATGAATAACTTGCATGTCAAACTCTGCAGTTGCTTTGTATTGAACTTTTCAAGGACAGAAACAATTAATAAAAGGATGTAAACTATGTTGTTTCTCCACATTATATAGCCTTTGCTATATGATTTGAGCAAAGAAGGATAGGGTAAGAATTAGGGCACTAAACTTTAAATATTTGCAGTTTTTGTGATATAAAGACTGTAATGTTTAGATTAAATAGATAGTATAATAAAAAAAGAAATTGATAGCTTCTCTAATAGACACAACAATTGCATTTTGTAAATTTAACCACGTAGACAATCGTTTGATTTACCACTTCATAAATGTCCACAATTCAAAATACTTTGTGCATGCATTTATAATAATGCTAAAGTTTGTATGTACTGCCTGTAATAACTGCTAGTATTAATGCCCCTGAGGAGAGCCAATATAAATTGAGTTGGGTAGAAAAGCTTATTTGGAGGGTGCAGTTTGTATCCCATTCATCCTCATTACTTCTAAAACATTAGCACATTTAAGTAGGAGTAAATTCCATTTGTTTATTTTGATCCACTATTGATAAACTGAAAGATAAAATCAAGAAACTAAGTAAGCAGAGAAAGCCCTGTTGACCTGATTAAAATCTGTTTTTGTACAAAGATGATTGCAATTGGACTGTATGACTGATACATCAATATAGTAACACATCCTTTATATAATTTAAATAAATACCAAAGGTATTAAGAATATCAACCCATTTATTTGCAAATTATGTTCAGGAAATTGAAAATATTACCTGCATGAAAGGTTCATTGGAGCAATTTATTATTAATAGCTATTGGCTTTATTAGTTATACCTATTTTCAAACGCCTAGGTTTATAAAGTGGTTAAGTTAAAAATGGCTATATTGTATTAGCAATCATTTATAAAATTCATTTTTAAGATGATTTGCAAAAACAATCAGACTTGCATTCTTTTGTTGCCTAGAGTAATGCAGGTATCATACCTCACTGATTTTATAGAATAGCATCTGAATTTATGTCATTTTCTATGAACTGGCACTGAATTGATTGGACAGAGTTTTTGATATATATGGGTACAAATAAATGTGTCAAATATGTCTTCTGAAATAGAAAAACAAAACAAAATCAGGAGAGCTTTTATATTGATGGAATCCTCTGAAGTCAACTGAAATATGAATGTAATCAATGTGCATATATTTTATTTTAAAACTTGGGGCAAATGTTGTATTGGTTCAGTTTTGATAAGACATAATTATTCAGAAGAATCTGACAGATAAAAGATAAAGCCTGAATTTGACTTTTTATGTAGAAATAAATGTGCTTCTTTTAAGGAGACAACTAAATCATATATGGTAATTTAGTATGGTATAGTTTAGAATTGGCTTGCAATGGTATTTGAGAATGCAGCCTTGATACTCAACTAATTTGTCAGAGTACAGGTTTTCCCAGTTGAATTTAAGCAAAGTTATTGGGAACAGAGTTATGTATAGTAATTAAATAGAACTTTGATTATTTAAAAGTAGAAAAATATTGATTAAAATGTGTTACTTTCCAATATGGAAAATGAGAAGTTTGCAAATGTAAATGAATAGCACATTGTAATTGATGAATAATTCATGTAGGTGTTTATGTTGAAAAATGGAACATGAGCTTGAATGCCATGAAGCTGCTTATTTTTTTTTTAAAAATGAACCCTTGCAATAGTTCAGTATTACAAATAAATATCTAGAGTGTATTTGTTAAACAAAGTCAGACTTTTTTTTAAAATGGAAATAAATCCTACCACTTGAGGGATAAGATCAACAATATGCTGTAGAGTATACTTCATTTAATAAGAGCACAGTGCACTCTTATTAGTATACTTATTAAATGAAGTATACTGATACAAATTGAATTACATAAAAGATATCTCAGTACTTTTACATGAGGTGGTTATTTGTGAATATCTATGAGGAAAAGAAATAATTTTATATATGAGTAGTTTCCAGATTTCGGTGACAATGTCTTGTCTATATATTTTAATCTATATTTTACTATATAATATAAAATAAACATAAATACTATAAATATAATTTGTTTACTCCTTAAATTGGAATCAGACCAAAACATATTGGCAGGTAACATTGGAATATCAATAACTAAGGTTGAGCAGTAAGTTTGGATTGGATTCCAAAAAAGTGCTTCAGAGCACACAGGGACATAAATAAAGTTTGTGTTTCTACATTTTTAAAACAGGTGTGTTTTCCCAACATCAGGTGACTACTAAAATATGTATCATATTTGAAAGAGTGGCAGACAGATGCTATGCTAATCATTCCTGTGTACGCCAAAGCAATTTTTCCAAATTATTAAATTTACTTATTAAATATAATCAAAATTGTTATCTTGAGTCTGAAAAATCATTATTTACTAATGGTATTTACATATATAGGCTTTATATGTGTGTCTGTCTGCCCTTACTAGGGCTCTGTAGAAATTTCAATTTAAAGGTGAAATGTGTTTTTAACTGTAAATGGGTGCTAAAATATCCTAGTTAGATTACTTTCCATAGTAAGGGAAGAGAACTTGCTAGAAAAACTAGAATTAAAAAATATTCTATAGCTTCAAATATCTGATTTACAGTGTTTTAATAAAGAAAAATTTAAAAGTATGTCATGTTAAGTTTACATATTATAGTCACTATAGACAGATACACATTTTAAGTGACACATATTCCCTGCAGCAGGGACAGCCCTTTAGCCTTCAGCTCCTCAAAGGCATTGAGTTCTAATCCTGTTTGTGATGCCAGATATTATGGTACCATAAAACATGGGCAAGAAGTTCTTGTATTGGAAAACAGTGAGTGTTCGAATGACATGGATGATCAAAGGATTTATGGAGCATAGAAAAACAGCTAAGTAACTTAGGGTACATTGCAGTAGCCCAAGTGAATGGTAATAAGAATATGAGTTAAGTTGAAAGTGATTAATTTTGGAAATTACTTGTGCATTTGATTCCATGTGCCTAACCAAAATCTGGTGTGGAAATTGAATAGGTAAAGTCAGGATTTTTTTTCATGAAAAAATGCTTTCTTTTACATTTCACATTTATATTTTTTATATGTCCATGTAAAATTTTGCCTAGAGGAAGTACAATTATATTTCCTACTGATGTTAGAAACATTTCAGAATGTTTAATTGAAAATCAATTTAAGAAATATTAAAAGAATCAAATAGAGTTTTCATTCTCTAAAAGAAGTTACTTTTGTTTCCAGTTTTCAGATGGAAACTTCACTTTGTAGAGACATATTTTAATAAAATGACAATTTTAATTTTTTGTATCTCTTTGAAGCAATTGAACTTTGATGTAGGATTATCTATGAAGCATTATCATTTTCCCAATTGTCTGTGATTTTATAACTCAGGGATTTATTTACCAACAATTAAAATAAACAATCAAATTTATCCTTTAAGGGCTCAGCAAATTTTAAATGCTAGGCAAGTAAAATTACTTTTATTAATTAATGGATAACTTGTTGTTTCAACAAATAGAAACATATACTGGAATCTTTGTGTAATAGGTTCTATACACACCTGCTTCTGCAACTCATTCATTTTTCAGTACTTGAAAATTCTGTAGCATTTCTGCGAATGTATGGAACACTGGATTTCTTCTATCTTCCTATACAGCCCCCCTTTTTTGGGGAATCCCTCCTCAAACATTCCTGTTGGGAAATATTTCATAATAATAAGTACAGGGATTCATTAAGCCAGACATGTCAAACTCCTGACATCACGTGACATCGCACAATGTATCGGGACTGTTTTGCCATTGCCAGCAATGGGGTGGGCGCAGCTTCCGCGTGACGCAGCTGGCCCGTGGGCTGGCAGTTTGACATCCCTGTATTAAGCAGTGGAACATAGAAGTATTTTTCAATTTGGACTTTGAATAGTTTCTACATAAATAGAAGATTTTTAATTTTTTTCAAGTTAGGAATTACTAAAATAATATGATAGCACATGTTGCTTTCTTGTAAAATACTGTTGTTTTTCTTAAGAAGAGTGGTTTAGCTCTTGAATAAATTAATTAATGTAGAATCCTTTTCATAGAAATTTGAGGCAATGCAGAAAACGCATTGGTATTTCAAGAAGACTTCCTTTAGAATAGCACTTCCTTTAGCAATAGCACTTAGACTCATATACCGCTCCTCTGGGCAGTTTACAACATCAGCATATTGCCCCCAACATTCTGGATTCTCATTTTGCCCACCTCAGAAGGATGGAAGGTTGAGTCAATCTTAAGCCTGTCAGGATTGAACCATCTTTAATATGATTAAAGGTAAAGAAATCTTTTCATATGAAATGCTGAGAGATATTCAAGTATATAT